CAGAATAGTTTTTCCGGAATAGCGGCTGATTTTGTACAGTAGAGCATCGTTGCTTTTCCGGAAATTCAAGGGCCAGTGTAGACACCTCGCAGCTTATTCTGGAAAAGTGGCTGATTTTCCGGAATAAGTGGCCCAGTGTAGACACAGCCCCAATGTGTATTAACCCAGACACCTAGGCTCAGCCTCCCAGGGAGAGACAAAGGGAGGAAGGTGGATACCAGCACCTGGCTGGGTGGCAGGGCCTGGGAGGGAGGCAGTTGCTGGCTGGGAAGCATGGAGAGAAGAGGCTAAGCTGGGGCCTAGGGGCGATGGACCCCTAACCCTAGGGTCTGAGGCATCCTGGCCCCTGTAGCCACATCACGTCTGTGCTGGGCTGTATCCTGAAGGAACAATAAACCCCTCTCTATTCTACGACCGGCGGAGTCTGTTCTTGCTGCTACGGGGCTGCAGGATCTGGGGGAACCCCGACTCGCCGTCACAGCCGGACTCTAAACAGACATAGCACTTTCACAAGCACAACATTTGTAACTCCCCTGCACCACCACCTTTGGAAGTGTTTCCTGTACCTGCCTATCCCTGTGACCTCCCCTCACTAGTACAAGGTTTTCTGAGCTCCTGGCTCCATAAAACCCCCAGGAGAAGATATGCTACCCCCAGACCCTCTATGCCTTTTGTCTATATTGGATGACAAGATGCTGAGGCCGGGGCGTGTGTCTGGATGAATAGTTTGCCTGATTGCTAACCATGCCCCTATAAAGTACCATCACGTCTCCTCAAAGGGGGCATATGGGCTTATACGCGGAGGTAAATATGCTGTGTGCAGGAGAAAATGCAGTCCCTTATGCAAAGCTTGGTTTTCTCTTTGTCCCTTACCTGTAGAGACACTGGATAAACTGAAGATGAAAAGGGTAATCCCCAAAATCATTGTCACCGGGCCCTTGGATGAGGAGATACTGAGTGCTTCCGAGAATGCTTTGCCGGAGTCCAAACCCATCAAGGATATAGCTGACAGCAGGTCAAACGTGCACACAAAACCCAGCACCGGGGAGGCTCACCAAGTGAAGAAAGAAACAGCGTGAGCTCTGGAGAGCAGCTAATGCTCACTGTGACAACTCAGAGACACCAGGATGTGATGAATGCCACCAAGTAGGGGCTGTGAAACAACTCGGGCCCCCACAATTATTAAACAGGAATCCAGCACAACAACTTCTCCCATGGTCTCACTTTCCTCAGCTCCATAGGATAGCTGGAGGAGAAGGAGAGAAAATAGTGACATTTAAAGGTGACCTGAAAAGCTTGCTTCAAAATAAATATCTGTAGTAAATGGCGTAAACTTGCAAGTCAATAACAGACTACATGTCTGGGCAGACACGATAGATCATCCCCATGCACCCTTCACCCCAAATGATTCCACAGCGTCTGCATGCAGCACCCTGGAAATGCAGCCAACTTTGAAGTGGACAGCAGCAGCCAACTGCAGAGGCTGAGGGAGAGGGGTTTGGGGCTAGACACCAAGGCCAATCCCTATCTTTATGGGAAGTCATTCACGTGGTTTTCAATGTCTCCCCAGAGTAGGGGAACCTTGTGTTTGAGAGTCCAGCGCGCCGCAACCTACATACCAGACCTCAGAAGTGCTGAGTTAATCCCGCCACTGGGGTTTGCACCTGGTCATTTCAGACCCTATGGTTATATGACAAACACACAATCAGAAAATCATTTCCTCCTTCATTTAGATCCCAAGATCCAAGCTTAGGGTTCTAAGCTACTCCAGCAGCATCTTAAGCATCTAAATCGAAAATACTCCCAGCCCTTTGGATATTGGTGATACTAGCAGCTGTAGCCAAGGAAACCCAGAAGAACCGTAAGCTCAGGTTTTGGCAGGCTAAAAGGCCTTTCAGTTCACCTTTTAATATAAAAGCCATAATCTGTTCATCTGGCACCAGCACCACTAAGAATAAGATTTTTATGAGAATCCTCAATTATAAAATATTTGTGTTAAAAAAAAAATACAGGTGAAGTGTGTGTTTTTAGGCACATACCTAAATCCCCTGTGATGGATCAAATTTACGTTTAAGCAAGTATTTGCCAAGAAGTGCTGCTTGGGACTGAAAGTTGATTTTTCCAGCACATATGGTTTTATAAACGCTCCCCCCCAATCAACATACCCCCGTGTTCAGAATTTTCCGCATCTCTGGTGGTCACAAAAATCTATTTGCTCACTTCTTTCAGCGGGATGATAATGACAAAAATGAAGGACATTTTACTTGCCTGTTTATAACATTATAAATAATTTGCCTCCCCTGAGTAAAATCTTGCCAGGCTATCCTATTGAGTTTTTAACAATGTATTAACTGGACTGCTGGGGAGCACAGCCAGACATCTAATAATGAGTGCACTTTGCACTACTAGAGCACCTTCCATTCGAGGATATCAATGTGCTTTACAAATACAAATTCGAACACATTCTTGGAAGATCCGTTGGTATCATTATCCCCATTTTACAGCTAAGGAAACTGAGGCAGGTTACTCAGGAATTCCACAACAGCCAGGTGTGACCAAGGGTGCCTGGGGAGGGATGTTAGGGTGTAAACAACAGACTGTTTAACCGAGAAGCGACTGCTTTATTGGCTAATGGTGTCAGTTACACTCAGCCTCCTACGGAGACAACTTCCCTGTGTCTGGGCAGTGAAGCCTTGGAGCTGGGTGGGCAAGAGCTGATAGTCCCACTCCCAGGAGGCTTCGCTGTGGGCTTTATACTGCAGAGCCCACAGTGCATGTAACTGCTGAGATTTTCAGCGGTTACATGGTTACCTTCTTGCACCATTTTTAACATCCCGAGCCTGGGATAGCCCTCACTGGAAAAGCCAAGCTCAGGGCAGGCTGCAAAAGCAGAGCAGATACTCTCGACAATGGTGTGTCCCACTGAAGTTAGAGTCCCCAAATAGTCACACATTCTGCTTCTGATCTCCCACACTGATGATCAAGAAGCCAAAAAGAAAATCGTGCAGGCCCCAATATAGCACTCCAGTTCTTTGGCTCCAGTACTATAAGAAGTTATTTTGAAACTCAGCTCACACGTGCAAAATGTTCTTCTGATTCCAAAGGGCCAGCCATGTTACTCGATCAGTATAGGTGTGGATCTTACCCAAAATATCATGCTGCTGGCCAGTTCGTTAGGATCTAAAACTACAAGTTTATAATAATAAAAAACAAACACACACACAAACAAGAAAAAGATATGAAATGGTAAAGCAGTCAGAGCACATCTACACAGCAGGGCTAAAGCCGAAATAAGCTGTGCAACTTGAGCAACGTCAGTTGTGTAGCTTAAGTCAAAATAAGACCAATCTGATTAGCTTCTATGATGAGGTAACTGGCTCGGTGGACATGGGGAAGTCAGTGGATGTTATATACCTTGACTTTAGCAAGGCTTTTGATACGGTCTCCCACAATATTCTTGCCAGCAAGTTAAGGGAATGTGGATTGGATAGATGGACGGTAAGATGGATAGAAAGCTGGCTAGAAGGCTGGGCCCAGCGGGTAGTGATCAACGGCTCGATGTCAGGATGGCGGTCGGTTTCTAGCAGAGTGCCCCAAGGTTTGGTTCTAGGACCGGTTTTGTTTAATATCTTTATTAATGATCTGGATGAGGGGATAGATTGCACCCGCAGCAAGTTTGCAGATGACACTAAGCTAGGGGGAGAGGTAGATACGCTGGAGGGCAGAGATAGGGTCCAGAGTGACCTAGACAAATTGGAGGATTGGGCCACAAGAAATCTGATGAGGTTCAACAAGGACAAGTGTAGAGTCCTGAACTTGGGACGGAAGAATCCCAAGCATAGTTACAAGCTGGGGACCAACCAGTTAAGTAGTAGTTCTGCAGAAAAGGACCTGGGGGTTACAGTGGATGAGAAGCTAGATATGAGTCAACAGTGTGCCCTTGTAGCCAAGAAGGCTAATGGCATATTAGGATGCATTAAGAGGAGCATTGCCAGCAGATCCAGAGATGTCATCATGCCCCTTTATTCGGCTTTGGTGAGGCCGCATCTGGAGTATTGTGTCCAGTTCTGGGCCCCCCACTACAAAAAGGATGCAGAAGCATTGGAAAGGGTCCAGCGGAGGGCAACCAAAATGATTAGGGGGCTAGAGCATATGACTTATGAGGAGAGGCTGAGAGACTTGGGTCTGTTTAGTCTGCAGAAGCGAAGAGTGAGGGGGAATTTGATAGCAGCCTTCAACTTCCTGACTTCAACTTCTTGAAGGGAAGTTCCAAACAGGATGAAGAGAGGCTGTTTGTTCTCAGTAGTGACGGATGGCAGAACAAGGCGCAATGTTCTCAAGTTACAGTGGGGGAGGTCCAGGTTGGATATTAGGAAAAACTATTATACTAGGAGGGTGAGGAAGCACTGGAATGAGTGGTGGAATCTCCATCCCAAGAGGTTTTTAAGTCCAACTACACACTCAGCCCGGCAGAAGAGTCTGTTCTATCTCGGGGACTCTTTTTGCCCCCTCCCTCTCTGGGACACAGCCATAGCTTGGATGGGCCATTCAGTCCTTTGTTCAGAGCTTCAGATCATAGCAAAGTTCCTCCAGAGGAAAGACGGCAGCTGCATCTTCTCCTTGTTGTCTTTTATGTTCCTTTTGCCTTGTCGTGTCCTCTTCCTTAGTCTCAAACACAAGCTGCCCAGCACATGGCAGGGACGCAGCAATGAAAGTAAGGGGGTGCTCCCTGGTGCACAGTTCCAGCAAGAACTGGCTGAGCAGTGGCAAAAGCCAGCAGGGAGCTTATGGCGGTGTACGCACATGCAGTCACAGGTGTGAGACTATTCTGCAGTGAGGATGCCGCCTGCTCGGCCGCAGGGTCATCAGCCAGCTCTATAGTGTGTAAATATCCCCTTGTCTATGGGTAACACAGAGTCTGTAAGCAGTCCTGGTTGCAGGGCAGTCTTGCCCAATGGCCAGAGGCAGCAAATAGCCCTTATCTAAGGGCAGCACAGAGGGCCCGTTAATAGCCCTGTTCGCAGTGCGTCTAGATTGGCACGGATGCTTTTGCTCAAAAGCATCTGTGCCAATCTAGACGCTCTTTTCCGCAAATGCTTTTAACGGAAAAGCTTTTCCGTTAAAAGCATTTGCGGAAAAGAATGCCAGTCTAGACGCAGCCACCGGGTTTTTACCCCTCCTGCTCTAGAGTGGGGTACGCACACCCCGTCACAGAGCTTTGTAAAGAGCTGGCAGGGACCTGGGTTGTGACAGGGCGGTATCCGTAGGAAATGTCTGTTACTTTCACCTCTGCCTGGAAGCCTTCTCTTCACAGGCATGCCCCTGCACGCCGTGCTGAGTCATAAGAACGCTGACCACACGTCCCGATTTCAAATATTCTCTCCCCTTGTCCCCTTAAATCAATGAAATGTCCCAGAAATTCCAATATTTCAGCAAATATTCTGGGGGGGGGGGGAGAAAGCCCCAAGGGTCCCCACCGAAACCAGCCTGTGGGGAAGAAGCGCAGTTAGAAGCTGCTGCGTGCGGGACAACTGCCCCTCCCTCAGCTGGGGAAGGGCAGCGCAGGGACGTGCTTCCTGGGGGCTTTCCCTGCTGCTCCAGGGCCAACAGGAGCAGCACGAGGCCATGCTTGGGGTTCGGTGTTGGGAGCCACGCAAAAGCTCGTGCCCCCCCTTTCCCTCCTGCCCAGACCCTACAGCACCACCCCAGTCGCTCCCCGCCCTGCGCAGACCCCGCACCCCCATCCC